GTCAACCGTCAGTCAGATTGGTTGGGGATAAGGAAGAGACTGTGAAGGGGCGGAGTTAAGGGGAGATACGATGGATGTACGTGGGAGAAGGAAAAAACAGAGGCGAGTAAGCGGAGGATTGTAGAAGCTAAACAAATTATTTAAGGTCCAAGTTTTATTAGTTGTTCTTATTCAAGTCCATGCTAGTGTGTAGTGGGAACCGCATATGCACAGATGTGTTTTTGATATGTTGATAAAAATGGAGATTCTGTGTAAGATGGTTCAAGCTAACCACTAAAGCTAACGGCTAGCGCTACGGGCGCGCGAGCATGGTCCGATTGGACTTTGAACTGAACAGACAGAGGTGCATTTGGACCAGGAGTTACCTGGCTCAGATCTGACCTGCGTTTTTCTCAGGACCTTGGATTGTTTGTCAGCGGACTGCTGATTTTCACCCGGCGAGCTGTGAACACTGCTATGGGGATTCGGTGATCAGCTGGAGATCATCGCACAGGCTTGCAATGTTTTGGGGTTGGAGGGGTATGTTTGAGTGTGTATGTGTGGGCCCACAAATTACTGAGTAATAGTGTAAAATGATTTAGTATGTGTGCAGTGCGAGTCTGTTTGTTTGCATTCATATATAAGAACACTTGAGCTACATATTTGGAGTAATATGTTTTGAGAAGGGAGAGGAGGAGGTTGGGGACATGGAGTCAGAGTGGTCCATGTTCAAAGCCTCCATTGCAGAAGCAGCCATTAGGAGCTGTGGCCAGAAGGTCACTGGTGCCTGTCGCAGTGGCAACCCCAAAACCCGCTGGTGGACACCGGCGGTGAGGGAAGCCGTCAGGCTGAAGAAGGAGACCTTTCGGGCTTGGTTGGCTCGGGGGTCTCCTGAAGCAGCAGGAAGCTACCGGCTGGCCAAAAGGGCTGCAGCTGAGGCGGTTGTGGAAGCTAAAACTCGGGTGTGGGAGGAGTTCGGGGAGGCTATGGAGAAAGACTTTCGGTCAGCCCCGAAGAAGTTCTGACAAACCATCCGATGCCTCAGAAAGGGGAGGCAGGGATTCGCCCAGGCTGTGTACAGTCGGGGAGGAGACCTGCTGACCCAGACTGGGGATCTCGTCGAGTGGTGGAAGGAGCACTTCTAGGAACTCCTGAACCCGGTAAACACGTCCTCTGCTGAAGGGGCAGAGCCTGAAGACTCGGGGGCTTCTGCGTCCATATCTGTAGTAGAGGTCGCTGAGGTAGTTAAGAAGCTCCTCAGTGGCAAAGCGCCAGGTGTGGACGAGATTCGCCCTGAGATGCTGAAGGCTCTGGACATTGTCGGACTGTCATGGCTGACACGTCTCTTCAATGTCGCGTGGGCATCGGGTACAGGGCTTGTGGAGTGGCAGACCGGGGTGGTGGTTCCCACTTTTAAAAAGGGGGACCGGAGAGTGTGTGACAATTACTGAGGTATCACACTTCTCAGTCTCCCCGGGAAAGTTTACTCTAGGGTGCTGGAAAGGAGGCTTCGGCCGATTGTCGAACCTCGGATTCAGGAGGAGCAATGCGGTTTCCATCCTGGTCGTGGAACAGTGGACCAGCTCTTTACCCTTGCGGAGCTGCTGAGGGGCACATGGGAATTCGACTTGCCAGTCCACATGTGCTTTGTGGATCTGGAGAGGGCCTATGACTGTGTCCCCCGAGGAACTCTGTGGGGGGTACTGAGGGAGTATGGGGTACCAGGCTACGAGCCATACGGTCCCTGTACAACCAAAGTGCGAGCTGTGTCCGCATTCTTGGCAATAAGTCGGACACGTTCCCGGTGGGTGTTGGACTCCGCCAGGGCTGCCCCTTGTCACCGATCCTGTTTGTGGTTTTCATGGATGGGATCTCAAGGCGCAGTCAGGGAGAGGAGGGTGTCCGGTTTGGGGACCTCAGCATCTTGTCTCTGCTTTTTGCAGACGATGGGGTACTGTTGGCTTCATCAGACCGTGACCTTCAGCACTCACTGGAGCGTTATGCAGCCGAGTACGAAGCGGCAGGGATGCGGCTCAATACCTCCAAGTCCGAGGCCATGGTTCTCTGCCGGAAACTGGTGGATTGCCACCTCCGGGTGGGGGTGGGGAGGGGGTTGCTTCCTCAAGCGAGGGAGTTTAGCTATCTTGGGATCTTGTTCACGAGTGATGGGAAAAGAGAGAGCTGAGCAGCAAGGCAAAGCTCTCGATTTACCAGCCCATCTACATACCAACCCTCACTTATGGTCACGAGCTTTGGGTCGTGACCGAAAGATCGAGATCGCAGAGACAAGCGGCTGAAATGAGCTTCCTCCGCAGGGTGGCTGGGCTCAGCCTTAGAGGTAGGGTGAGGAGCTCGGACATCCAGAGGGAGCTCAGAGTAGAGCCGCTGCTCCTTCGCGTAGAAAGGAGTCAGTTGAGGTGGTATGGACATCTGGTTCGGATGCCTCCGGGGAGGCTTCCTCTGAAGGTTTTCCGAACACGTCCACCTGGGAGGAGACCCCGGGGATTATATCTCTCAGCTGGCCTGGGAACGCCTCGGGATCCCCCAGGCAGAGCTGGAAAGCGTCGTCGGGGGGAGGGAGGTTGACCCGACCCCGGATAAACGGAAGACAATGGATGGATGGATGGATGGATGGATGTTTTGAGAATAGTCAAGGTACCCTGAAGTATTTTAATGGGAAAGTGTGTATTGATTGTTAATTTCCGATCAAGATAAAGTACCACACATGGTTTAGAACAGGGGTTCTCAACTGGTGGGTCGCGACCCAAATGTGGGTCACGGACCTGTTCTGGCTGGGTCGCGGACAGCTGGTCAAAATTAAATAATATATAATGTGCGTCTCAGGATTGGACTTATTTTTAATTTTGAAAAAACTTTTATTTTGACAGGCATGGTAACTATAGTTTGTTTGACGTTCATTTTCAGTTTGTGTTGATGTTGGGATGCAAGATGGCAAAGCGCAAATATGACTCGGAGTATTGGAAATGTGGATTTTCATACTCGGACTGGACCCGAATAGCCAACTATTCGTTCGCTGTGCTGGAATTGGGATATCAATTTTGATCTTGAATATTCCTCCGCACCTCCCGTCTGAGTAATATATTATTTTGTGCAGTTTTGTACATGCAGTTGTCATGGTCCAGTTACTATGAATGGTTATATGCTCTGAAATGCATGTTGCACAGGAAAATGTATTGAATATTGAATTCTGAAAAAACTGGGTCGCGACTTAATGACTATGGGAAAATGTGGGTCTCAGGGTGAGACTTGTTGAGAACCCCTGGTTTAGAAGGTACTATTTTGAGTTATTTTGGGGTTACATTTTGTGTTTGCAAAATCATACAGAAGAAATAGATTTTTGGCCATTTCATTTAAAACATTAAAGTGCTTGTATTTTATTTAATTATAAACAAGTTCAAGAGAGCGTCGCCGGGGGGAGGGAGGTCTGGGACGACCTGCTCCGCCTACTGCCCCCGCGACCCGACCCCGGATAAGCGGAAGAGAATGGATGGATGGATGGATATAAACAAGTTGTCGGGGTCAGTTTTTTTTTTAAAGAGGGATAGATTTGATAGTTTGAAGTGTCAGAACAAGGTAAGTCTAATTCACATCAGGTAAACCTTAGGGTAACTACCTTAGTAGTACGAACCCAAACACCCCAGTATCCTAAGTTGTTAAAACCATCAAAGTGTTAAATTATGGGTGCTGGGGTGCTACATCAGATATGCCACAAGAATATACATTAGGCAACAAATTAGTTAAAGGAATCCTCAGACTGTCTTATTGATATCTGATTGATTATCTGATATGATCAGTGATCATATATTTTATTATAAACTAATGAACGTATTCATTAACACAGTCAGCAGTTTTCTGCCAGCATTCCTTCCTGGCTTTGGCAGCTGCAACGGTGCTGCTTTTTGCTCCTATGATGTTTTTATATTATTCTTCATATTTAGTAAAGATTATATTCTGCTCCTCGGCGTTGAAGTGAGCCGCTCTGTAGCCAGACTTGTCCATAGTCGTGATTGGTCAGATGTCAATAACTCCGCCCATTTTGTGTGCACACGCTCATACTCAAATCAGACAAACCTGGATTGACTTGCCGAGCTGATAACCACCGTCGTAGGACCGGTTATCCTGAGTGCGATTGCTAGGGTTAGTCAAGCCGGATCTGTGAAACATATCCTGGGTATGTTGCTCTCACTTCGTAGTACAGGCCCCTGGTTAAAGGGAGACGCTCTTTCCAGCCGATTTAAATCTGAAACTCTGAAACATAACCTGCTCCCAACCAGGTTAGCTCACAGCATAAGTTACCATGGAGATCTAGCTAGGTATAAAGGGAGCCACCTTCGTGACACTCAAAACTCTGGCTTGAAACTCAACATACCTCGCTAATCCACTAATCTCACTTCGTGGTACAGCCCTCTGGTCCCGACCAGGTTAGGTTCATAGAGTCTGTTACTACAGTAACTGACTGAGGTCTTAAGTTAGCTCTCTCTGTGAAACAGGCTAAGAGTTACCCCTGTCTTTGGTTTGAGTTACCTCCCTTTGTGAAACGGAAAACCCAGAGTTTCCCTCATTTCAGGCTTAACAGACTCAGAGTTTTCATTAAACCTGCTTTGTTAAAAAGATCCCAGGCCACTGTCTCCCGCGGCTCCATGGTCCAGCTCTGACGTGGTGGACGGAAGACAGCGTGGACACAGCAGTCTCTAGTTACACAGCAGGCTGCAATGCACTGTGGGTCCTCACATCTTTCTATTCAAGCAGCATGGAGGCGTTTTGTGGTCCACCAGTCGTCCTTCCTTGGACCTCATGGGTTTGGTACTAAACACTACACACACCTCTGGAGCACTGCTGGTTTGTGGATTCTCTGTTGTGTTTGCCATCACAGTTGGTCAAAGCCTCTCAGATCTTCCAGCTTACAACACATCAGCTCCAGGAGCCGACGTTCACCTGCTGCCTGATAAATCCCTGTGGATGGTTTTAATGTTGTGGCTCCACAGTGAAGCGAACACAGCTTTCTCTATTTTAGCACTTTTTATTCAACAGGTTTAAAAGATCATTGTCAAGCAACCAAGAACTGAAACATTTCCAATCACGTTAAAACAGACTCTAGAGTAAGCATTCCCTTTAGTATAAATTAGTCATATCTTTGTGGAGTACTACTGATTATCTTCTGCTGATATCTGTTTAAGAATTATTACAAGGGCAAAAAACACGTTTGTTTTTTTTATTATTATTTTAAACGCCTCCGTATGTTGGTGAGTTGCTTTTAAGCACCAGGGCTGGTGACTTCCTTCAACACAGGCTGGTAATTCTCACCATCTGCAACATCCTGCAGACACACAACGACTTAACTGAAGTTACAAAGTTCACAGTTCAATAGTTTAAAAAAAAAAAAAAAATGTTACTTGTGTTGTTCGAACACACATAGTTGTCCAGCTGAACCAGACACTTCCGATGTCCAGCAGCTGCAACAAACACGACTACAACTCTTCGGATCATGATTTTTACCTTCCCCCTGCCGAGCAGAGCATTGATGCCCAAGACAGAGAAGCCAATGCAGACACACAGCTGGAGGCAACTCAGGATGATCAAAGTCACATCCATTCCTATCATCAGCCGCTGACACACAAGAAATGGGACAGAAAGAAAAAATTCAGTTGAGACTCAAAGAGGATTCAACCCTCTGAACCCCAGAACCCTCCAGTGGGTTTTAAATGTATGTTTTGTTTTGTTTATATTCACCAAAGTGACATCATTTATCAGAGGAAGAAACTTTGGATATATCAGGAAAATTAACTGCAATATTTAATCAAAAACCACATTATTCTACAAGCTTCATTTAGAAAAGCTCCAAAAATATCAGATTTTGTAAAAATTCAGGAAGTTTTCAGGTAGACAACCACATCGGTATTGGCCGATATTGGTGTTTTTTCCAATATATAGGTATTGGTCCGATGAACAAATTTAGCCGATATGAAAAACCGATGATTGTCTAATATTAGCGCCTTCGTCTCTACATTTGATGTTGCTGCTATTTACCAGATGTTTTCACTTAAACGTTAAATATGTTGAAATATGGTTGAAATATGGTTGAATATGTTTTACTTTTGTTATGTAATAAGGAAGACGATGTGGTCTAATTTGGTATGGTCTTCTTTTGAATATTTTTCACATGCTCCTAGTACTTACTTATACTCATTTTTCAACGTGAACAAAATTGATTATCAGAATCGGTAATCAGTGATATCAGAAATCTTAATATCAGATATCGGCATCGGACAGAAATTTCTATATTGTGCAGCACTATTTTCAGGTGAATTGATCAATAAAGGAAATCCTGCATGGTTAAAAAATGGTATACAGAGGAGCAAGCTGTGGGAAGATACAGTCAGCGTGGTGAAACATCGCTTCAGAGTGAAAAAGGCAGTTTGTTTAAAAAAAAAAAAGTAAAATATCTAGGGTTAGGGTTTCAGTCCTGTTGTAAATTTTCTTAAATGTTGCTACCTCATTCATGTGTAGCATTTGTCACTTTAATATGTCAATAAATTAAGTTAAATAAATGCCTTTTCACTGACTGCTGCCATTCACTGTGGGAGGCAGCAACATGTGCAGGAACTTTTGTGTCTCATGAAACAGTTTTGTTAAAGGAACAGAACCAGTTTTACCCTTCAAAATTACCTGAGCATAGTGCGCCAGCATTCTGCAGTTTTCATCGTAAAGGTTCTGGTCACACCAGGTGCTGAGAGGGGGTTCTCCCAGGTCTATGGCATACAGCACAACGCCAACAACGGCGAAGATGGAGCCGGCTATGTTCATAAACACAGCAAAGCCCACCTGAGAGCAGACGACATATTTCTGTTGTTACACTGCTGTTACACTATGCACTGCTCTGTAGGAGTTTATTGATTTTATTCTTTACTTACCAAACACCGAGATGGGAAGCGGTCGGCAAAGACTGACACACTTCCAGCAGCGATGTACTGAAGAGAGACAACAAATAGCTTGTAAAAATGAAAACAATACTGACTTTCACCTTTTTTCGTGATAATAAAATAAAACTAGAAAATTTCCTTGCAGAAAATTTGAGAGTGGCACGGGAGTGTGCCGGGATTTAAATGATGATTTTATAACTAGAAAATTTCCTTGCAGAAAATTTGAGAGTGGCACGGGAGTGTGCCGGGATTTAAATGATGATTTTGTTTACCAAACCTACGAAACACTATGAACAACCTAAACCTCATCTGTGTGGAGAGAGCAGAGAGGGAGGGGGAGTTGAGAGTAGGGTCAGAGCGTTGCCGGGCAACGAAGCACACAGCTGCAGCAGCACACAGCTGAGACAGACACTTAGTTTAACTCTCAAATCAGTAGAAGAAAGCAGAAGGAGAAGACCTCAAACAACCGCATTTTGCGTCAAAACCGTGTGTCGGAGAGAAAAGCTGATCACATTGTCAGAAAGCCAAGACCTTGGGCAATACAGAGATGTATTTTTTGTTTTCCTAGAGTGAAAAATGAGCGCACAATCATTTGAGAAGAAATATGTAAATCTGTGGTCACACAGAGAATCCGCAGCCGTCTTTGAATGGGGGCAGATGGGGAAGGAAGAGAGACTTTTGGAGGAACAAGGCTCCAAAACTCCCCCAAATTTAATTCTGTGGGCTTCCAAAGTGACATTGTGAGTGGGAGGACAGATTTTCCTACGTTTTCATGTAAAAATCATGTCTGTGGCATAAAAACTGTGGCCAGGGCGACAAGTTCAAAAAAGATTTACTGTGTGATTTTTCTCTGAGCTCCCACTCTAGTGATGTCATCACTCACTCTAAAGGACCACATACACACCCATTGTAAAGGCTGAAAAGGGGGGAAAAACTTTCAAAACTTGAGAGGTTGTCACGATGAAACGATTGAAGATATGAAAAAAGTAAAAACACTTTGAAATAGGGGAAGGGTGCGCCAACATTTTAAAGTTTAAATGGAGTCTCTAGGTGAAAGTATGGCTGAGCAGTGGAGGTTTGAAAAGTAGTGTAATTTTGTGATTTTTTTCGTCCGTCCCATTCATTTTCAATGGGAGGTTTTTGCGACGTTTTTGCGATTTTTGTAAATCTGTATGTAAGCACACGATTCCCGATCGAGCTGCACGTTTTGATATATAATTTGTGTGGGTGCTCCCAAATCTGTGGGAGGAGTAGGCCGGCAAACTTTTGTACGGAAGAAAAACCAGGATAACAATAGTGGCCTCGGGCTTTGCCCGAGGCCCTACGAGCTCAGCCCGTGCCACTAATAAGAAGTGCAAAAGTACAACCATTGAATTGTTTCTCATAAAGCAGTGATGACGTTATGCTATGAGACCATCCTAGTGCTGTAACACCCTGCTTTTATTGACAACGGTTTTCAGGTAATATGAGCACAACAGTGCTTTTTTACCACAGCGCCCAGCCAGTAAGCAGCCTTCAGGTCAGTGAAATCCTCGGGGTGCATACTTGTTCTTCCTGGACCGAGTCCGATGTTAAACAGACCCACCATGATCTGTACAGCCTGCAAAAGATTCAGAGCAAATCTCACTGTGTTCCACTGAAACAATGCAAACTTTTTCTTTTTTAATGAGAGGATCTCACCCCAAATGCTCCGATCACAGACGACGGCATCAGTCTTCCGTTCACCGAGCAGCACTCTGGACTGCAGCACAGAGCCTTCAGGATCTGACACAGAGGAGGAAGCATCCTTTTCGCCTCGGTCGCCATAGTGACCACAGATGCTGCCTTTTGCTTAGCAACAGCGATGGACATTGTTCACACCTGCGACGTGGAAAACAGATTTTAGGATGAATCCTTTGATAGAAAGATCGATTACGAAGAAAAAAAAAGTGAAAAATAAATGACAACAGTGTTCATACAGCAACGTACCTCAATGTGAATTTAAAGCAGGTAAATAAGAATGGTGACATGCTGAAAATCATAATAAAGATCAGAGGTTCTGTTTCTGGTGTTTTTTGTGTGTGTTGAACAGAGTGCATCTGTCACTGGGTGAGCTGACTCTACAGCATCAGAACCAGACACAAGCTGACGGCAAACAGATGCTAAATGACCACATGGAGATTGAATAATGACTAGAAACAGACACAAAACCATGTTAAAGACATGTAAAATGACCACAAAAAGACAAAAAAAAAAAAAACAACGTCAGTGACACAAAACCTCAACGAGATGCAAAATGACAACAAAGAGACTAGAAATACTTAAAACAGGCTTCAAACTAT